CCATGGGAGGGGGCTGGAGGAGTGGGTAGGGGATGGGGCCCTGCTCGCTGCTGCCACACCCCCACCGCTGGTGCTGCTGCTGCCACCTGTTTGATTGAGAGGAGATTCAGCCCAATTCGGGCTTCAAAATGACCAAATCAAATCAGGACAGTGATTTGAATCACCAAATTGAATCACTGTCCCTCTGAATCGGCCAAATCCAAAGTTGAATTGAATACTTGCTGCTTCTCACAGGCCTCCTTACAAGTACCATTTTTAGAAGTAAAGTTACACCGATTGCTACATAGCTGTTTCTGCATAGAAGCATGTTAGTTTAACTTGAGGAAGCAATTAAAAATAATTTTCTTCTTCATTTGCAGCAGAAATACCATATTTACGTGAGTACAAAATGAGGTTTTCCCCCCCAGTTGGTATGTGGAAAAGCCCCTTGTATTATAACTGCATACAACAAAATCTCACAAAATACATTTGTCTATCATTAAACTGCTGCCAAAAACAGCATGTGATCAGTAATGAAAACCAACTATGAAGCTGAGTAAATGAAGCCAACACTAAGCATGGTCCAAATTGAGCAAAAGTACTGATGGGAACCTACCACAAGAACAGGTTAATGCAACCTGTGGTGGGCCAGCAGGGGGTGCTCCTGCACTGAGCCACCGAACTCATCATGCCTGACCACCTTCCAGGCTTTGAGTGCCTTCCGGGGGCTCCTCACGTCTGGCTGACCCCCTTCCTGGAGCACACCCACAAGCCTGGGGGTAACACAGCCACAACCCAGAGTCTGGATTGATCCTGGACTTGTGCCCTCTGGGAAACACAGACATAGTAGTCCTTGAGGGTGCTTGACCCACTGCAAGAACTTGGGGTGCTTCCCTCAGTCTGAAGCACAAATAGTGGTCTCCCTTAGTCAGCTGAACCAAGGGAACCCCAAGGCATAGTCTTGACCCTCTCTCAATCAGTTTCCCATGCTAGGTAAAAAGGAGAAATGTAATGGTTACAAGGAGTAGGTTTGGAATAGAGTACAAGGTAGAGCTATATCAGAGAAATACCTTAGAACAAACAGTGGCATGGTAGCCTTTGATTATACATCCGTGTTACTGCAAGCTATATATCTAGTTAGATCTCAAGTAGCTTACTCACAAGAGTCATCCAGAGGCAGGTGGAGATTTCATCTGGAGGCAAACAGCTCATCGACCATGAGTTTCAAGAGAGAGTTTCAGATGGCCCATCTTCTCTGTGATCATGGCCACTGCCCCTCCTCCTGGGCAGTTCTTAATTTATATAGATCTTATGACCTCATTTACCCGATCCAGTGAAGGCCAGCAGCTGTTGGCTGCTAGCCAACAAACTTGAAATGCATCACTGGTTGACAGGTAGACTGGCAGGGTCTCTAGCCCCCTCCCAACATTGCATTTAAGCCCCCCACCCAAGTATGTGGGGGGCTTAAACTCCCTATTTAAACCCAGTCATGTGGGCAGAGGGAGCAGGGTTTTCTTCTCCCTCTGGAAGGTATCCAGCTCAGGTTACAACTCAGGGTTACCTGAAGTTGATGGGGCCAGAGGTGTCTTCCCTCTGCAGTGACCATGATAACCAAATTGTCAGGTGAAGTCAGACCAGGTTGCCCTGCACCTTATGTGCATATAAATTTTTGGAACATCCCAGGACTTGTGACAAGAACATCTAGTTCCAGTCATGACTAGGGGCTTATTAGCACATGGATCCTTTGTGGGAGGATTCAAAGCAGACCTCCAATAAGTAGATTCTATACCTGGAAAATTATAACAAATTTATAAATATTCCATATATAAAATTTAATTTTGGGGGGTTGTCTTACAATCAGGGTCATCTCCTATTTGAAAAAATATAGTAATACATGAAATCCTCGCCTCACTCATCTTAATATGAGTTTTGCCATTCACTTCACTGGAGACAGGATTTCACCCCATATTCCTATTTTCTCAACTGAAATCATATTTCCTATTCCTAAGTATTGCTATCTCTTGATGGTTCTACATTTATATATTTATTCAGGAAACAGATCCTTAGTGATTTGTATTAGATTGTAAATCAATCTAATATACTTTTTAAAAACTCAGATGTGTCTCTGGTCCACAGACTTTCTCTTAAAGAACTTGCAGTCTAAAAAGACAAGTGAGAAACCTAGAATATGGGAGAGAGTTAAAACACAAATATTGTGAATGCTTCCACACACTGGCATCAGCATACCTGCACAAATACTCTGCATTCTTTCATTCTGCATTCTTTATATTATTAATCATGGTTTTAGTGTATCTATGCCTGAATTTACAGTTTTAGTGAGTGCAAATGAGCCTCAGTTGGCTAAAATTTGTCTTCAAAACTCTCTATATTAATTAATATCAGACTCTATATTGCTCTGTAAAATACCGGCCTGGGTTAGCTTGTTCCTGAAACAGTGATTCATTATTCAATATGAAAAAAGATCAAACATTTGGAAGTTCTCTCTAAGTTTACGGGCAAAAATTATGTAGGTTGGCAAAACAGTTCTCACTTTACCCATAAATCACAGATCAAAAGCTACTTACATAAAATATATACATCTGTTTTTTTTCAGATTTAGGAAAAAAGAAAAGGTTTTAATTTTGTTTTTAACAATTGCTATTACTTTAGTTTCTGGACAGTAATCATTTGAGCTCTTATCTAGAACAAAACTATGGTGATGTCATTGTTCAGAAATTTTCTCAGAGCACTTTGTGGAAAAAGTAGACAAAATATATTAATAGGTGATTTGTTGCATGACCTTGTGCAGTACCCCCCCAAGAATTAGTCACTGTATTTTCCTTTTTTCCCCTAGGATTCAGATTTCCCTGTAGATACTCAAGTGAACCCAAACCTTGCTCGCGTCAAAGAATGTACACGACCATTGAAATCTGGATTATACACGCTAAGCAACACTTTAAGAGTGCATGATCTAGCAGTGAGCTGGTAGGAACCATTAATAATTTATTCCATTTACTACTGTACTTTTGTATAAGTATAGAATTTTGTTTGACCAGGTCATAGTTAGGGATTTTCTTCTAGAAAATGTTCACACTATTATTTATGCCAAAATGCTGTTCTTACTCAAGCATCCTAAAACAAATTATGCAAGATACTCAATGGGTATGCAAACCAAGTGGACTGTACCAAATTGTTGACCAGGAGACATAAACTCTTATTTATAAGATGTATACATTTTCACTGAGGTTCCTATGCAATTTGTTTACTGTACAAATCTAATTTATATTTCTTTGATGTAAATCTAGAATGTGTCTATTGAATCCAATGGGTTTCCTCCACATACACTGTTTTACTAGTGGTTAACAGAGATCAGAATATGTCCTGTAAGAAAAAAAATACTACCACCAATTAATTTTATATTTCTCAGTGCCCTTTGCGCCTCTAATGTCCATTCTGTAGTAGTGTTTTCAGAATCAAATGAAAGTAGACATTCTGAGAAACATTCTTAATATATGTACATTACAAATAGTCGAAAGTAAGACATAAGTATCTATATGTTAATTGAGTTTGCCTTATACAGACCTTTCACTTTTATGATAGCTCCATATAAATATTTTAGGAACATACATCTGGCTTTCATGGAAATAAAAACAACAGCTCTAGCTTGCCAAGAAGGAGGAACTCAAATCTGCTTGAGGCCACTGTTGAGCTGTTTACATTGCCTAGTTGCACATCTTGGGTGTACTCCATCTAGAAGTTTATTTCTTCAGTGGTGAACCCATGATTGGAAGGAACATTATAGACATGGCTTTGTTTCTTCTCTTGAGGAATATATTCTCAAAATATTCCTTGATTTTTGTCTTGGCACTTTGTCATGCTACAAAAAGAGCGCTATGAGGGTATGCACACATTCAGAGTCCCCTGGCTAGAGTTCTATGAAGTCATTGTGAAGGCATTCCGTGGCATGTCCTCTAGCCAGGGGCTTTTGGGGACTGCTAATTTGCACCCCAACTCCAGGGGGGGGACTGTCAATGAGCCCAATCTTTGACAGCCTGAGCTCTTTCCCTGCAGGGAGTGGAGGCCTGTGTTTGCCAGGTGTTGTTGCTCCCAGCAGGGAAGAGGGCTGCTTCTGGGCAGGCTGTCTTTCATAGCTGCTGCTCCAGGACCCACACTGGGATTGGACCAGAAGCAGCAGCCGTCAAAGATGGCACTCCTGGTAGGGGAGTGGGATGAGTAGAGCTGCTTTTCTTATACCACAGGATCTGCATTTGACAGTTGCTGCTGCTGTCCATTGCTCCAGAGTGTAGCTTTTGGCTGTTTTTAGTGCCTCTGCTGCAGGGGTAACCATCTCTGTGGCTTCACTGGTAGAAACAGCAAATGAGGCTCTGCGGCAGTTCCTTGGAAAAAGGAAGGGATGTAGCACTGCAAGATGCTGGGGGTGCAAGAGACCCCCAGTGTCACATTGCAACTGTCCATACCTTACATGTTGCAGTGCAAAATGTAGCATTACAGAAAACAGGAACTTTTCTGTGATGGATCTTTCATTTTCTCTACTCTAAGTCATCTTTTTGAGGCTGCTAAGGATGCAAACACTGTTCTGTAACAGGCATTCCAGCTACAATACAGTGGTCTGGATGGACTCTAAATGCCACAACTCAGTTTTAACTGCCATAGTATAGGATTGTACAGGATGCATTGAGGGTTAGGGTGGAGGAGTGGCTAAGCAGTCCTCCTTGATTTAAAAAAAATACCTTCCATTTAGCAGATTTGTTTTAGTATCACATGCTAATGAAAATGTTATTTAAAGATGACTGTAACTCAAGTTCTACTAGACTGATTTATAAATGTTTTCTTTTTTTACAATTTAATTCATCTTATTTCCTTGGGTCAAAAATCAGAATTAGACTTTTAAATTTAGATTAGTTTAAGTGTGCAATGACTTGTAAGCTTTGACATTTAAGTGCCTGCTAGTTGGTGGATGAGAAAGAGTAAACATTAAAAAGTCATTTTTGAAAATAGGTTACAGCTAATAGCAAAGTCTGGAAATTCCTGATGAATTATCTATACATGTTTTTTGGTAAATGAGATTTTGAAAAATGCCAGGAGATTTCATTTGCTACTCATAGATCTTTCATACTTGTTATACATTGTCCACACCACAATCAGAATGCAGGTGCCTTGCGTCTAAATTTTTGAGGCTAAGAACAGATTGTCTTTTCTCACTTAACTTTATTCAGTTCATGTTAAATCCAATAAATTTAATACACAGGTAGATTGTTTTAATTGATATAACAGTTTGATGATATGGTGTATTTTATGTCAATTTAGAGCTTTTCAAACTAGTGTTAGAAATATTGGCAAAACATCCAGTTAGTTTATGGAAATTTGTTGTATAAATAATATACAACCAATAGAGGTAAAATATTTTGGTAACAAAAGGGGTTGTTTTTATTTTGCTGTAATATTTCAGTGTGTAAACTTATAAAACAATTTTACATTGATGAAAATGAATGTGAACTTACTTGGGTGAATACCAAAAACTTGTGACAAACCATTATGGTGCTCATCAAATTTTTGACCTGGTATGATGGATTTTGGTTGATCACATGAATGGTTACTTCCTGCTCTTTGGCTCAATGATCATATTGCATATGGCTGTTCAAAATGTGTTAACATTTTGAATCTTTTTTTGTTGTGTGGCTGCCCATTACAAAGTATTTCAGGTCCAGATAGAAAAAATGCTTGGAAGGGCAAGTAACTGTGTTGCTGCTTTGTACAGCCTGTACTACAGGATTACTTATATCGCTTGTCCAGAAGAGTACTGCCAAGATTTTAGGAAGACAATATGCCTGCCTCATGATATCCAGTAACACTGGTAGGGAGAGTGGTCTATACACAATAGATATATTGTGGGACAGGAGGTTAACCATTATTTCACGTGGAAAGATCACCATAGGTAGGAGAGACACCAGTTGTGTGAAAAATAGAGAATTGTACAGTCTGGGTTGGTTTTCAGTAGATTCTGGTAGGTTGAACAATAATCCAAATTAAACCTTTACGGTTACCCTATCACTTGATTTATTTATATAGGATACCTAGACAGCAGAGAGGCAGGCTTACTGTATGGCTTACTCTTTCATTTGAACTAATTATGGTAAGTCTAGTTAATGGCTTGCTTTCATATATGATAGCATTTTAACATGTAAAAGTTTCCTTCATAAGTAACTTTTGAATGTTAACATCTGCATTAAGCTACTCTTTAAAAACACCTCCTGAAGTGTAATGTTTTAGGAGACTCTTCTACCAGAAGAAGATCTGAAAAGTGGAATGTGGTGGTGGCAGAGAGCCCCTCTGTATGCATCCGACAGCCAAGACAGCAGGTTTCAAAAGCAGGTGTGACAGGATCATTGTATCCCCCTGTTTCCACCCCTGCCTCTTTTGTGTGTTTTTCAGGTATCCTAAAGTGGACCTAGTGGAGAAAAATTATAAATATAATAATCCAGGTGGCCTCTTTCCTAAACAGTGCCTTTTGCAAGTTATTGGAGGCATTTTTCTAGATCAGTATATCCCTTTTCTAGTTCTTTTAGTTTTAGGAGATATACTGAAATGTACTAGAAATCCAAAGTACTTTCTACAGTTAAGAAAAAGGATATCACAGTTTAAGGATATAATGCCATTTGAGAAAGCAATTTACTGAAATAAAAATACATTGGATGATTTTATACTTATTTTGAAACACTTAAGAATTTGCTTGTAACATAACTGAAAGAACAAAGCAGGGAGAACACTTATTTAACTTCAGATAATACTGTAAAATGTAAGCTTACATATAGAAATAGTGACTTAAAATGAGGGTGAGTACTGTTTCTTCAAACAGTATAGGTATTGCTTTGGTGAAGTCAATATTTTTATAAGAAAATTAGAAAATGTAAATATAGGAAATGGTGGATCGATGCAGTACCATGATGGTCCAAGAGATATGCAAGAGGCAAGGATTTCTTGTGGGTGATAGCTTTTATTGGACCGAATACATGGTTAGGATAGACTTAGACAAGGTTTCAAATACAATGAATTATTTTTCAGATCCCTTATCTAAGTCTATCCTAACCATGCAGATTGTCTGATTAAAGATATCACTTACAAAAATCCTCGCCTCCCTTAAATATAAGAAATGAATTTTAAAGTATCACTATCAAAATTTTAAAAACTACAAGCTTTGGATTTAACACCAAACTCCTTATTCCCTTGTAAACCCCTTTACTTGTCTCTTGAATCATATGGTCTATACTCTTGCACTACTTGAAAAACTACAGGTCTTAGACACTTAAATTAACAAGAATTCTTTCAAGGTAGTTGCTGCTGTGTCCTCCAGTGTTTCTGTTGAAAGGGACATCATATCAATGAAAATGGGAAAAGAAGTAATTGAAAACAAACATCACTTTGTTTAAATATTTCTTGTAAAGTGTCTTAGCACATGATAATCTGACATTCATTTCCAAGAGAATGAAGGAAATTGTAGCTTGCAACTGTTCTTGTCTAAATTACTAGTATTGTAGCTATTGATTTCTGAGATTTGCAATGCTCCCAAAATCCAACAAATTATGAAATTCTGTAAGCCCCAACTTTCATAAATCGGTTCCTGATCTGTATTATAGAAACCTAAATAAAAATGACATCATTTTCAAAAACTAAATTTATGTAAAAGTATGGTATGATATGATATTATTTAACAACTGTCTGTTTATATGACACTAGAAACGGAAATCAGGGTATATTTCTACTTGGTATAAGTATACTACTTTTGCAATATCATAAAGCCAATGTGGGCTTAACTGACTGTAACAGGGGCTTGGGTAGAGGCCTCATTACTAGGATAGCCTCGGAGGCAGAAGACCACGGGGAGCACGCTACGCAGGTGAAGGAACTTGCACACCTAGGGAAGATCAGGATAATTAAACCCGCCACCGCCTACAAAAGCCCAGCTC